TACCCGCGGGGAGCTCCCTGCCCTGCCGCGGGGCTGGCCGCCTGCCGCGCGCACCTTCCCTCCAGGCTGCAGGTAAAGGCCCGGGGGCAGCGGGGAGGGTAGCTGAGCCGGGCTCCAGCTCGTGAGCGTGGGTTTCCCGAGAAACCCTGCTAGTAACCGCTCCGTACTGATCTGCTGACACTCCCCGGTGGCAAAGCTTTGAACAAATAATCCCTCCTGGGACGAAGGGAGACTGGTGAGACTGTACTTGGGCTCTCACCCTTTAAAGTGTAGGAGGTGGCTTAAGAAAACCTTATTCACTGATGCTTACGCCAAGGTCCCACTGCCGTGCTCCCTTCGGGGTGCCAGAGCTTGCAGGAAGCTCAAGTTGACATCAGGGTGTCTGCATTTCTGTTCCTTGGGCCCTTCGGGGGTTTGCTACTGTGGCAGGGGAGATGTTACTGTGCTGATTTACAAGACCTAAAAAAAATAGCAGCTGCTGTGTGCACAAACTCTCCTTGGCTGTGACCGTGTAAAGCCCCGAGGTCAGTCAGTGGCTTACTGGTAGTAGACGATGTGAAAGATTATGTCCTGGTCGCATGTTGTAGTCCTAGGGGTTGTGTTGCTTGAGCTCAACAGATCAAACTTTGGTTTGTAACGTGGTGTAAAATGCATTCTTGCAGATGGAATTCCTCATTAGCCTCTGAGCACCTTGCTGTTACTTTAACTTGCTGCTCCTTGCCAGAGCTGAGTGTGGAGCAGACCCTGAGCTTGCCAGCCCCATCAGAACCCAGCAGCACCCTCACCTCATTCCCCTTGCTGGTGAGCTCTGGAGTTGAGGCTAGTCCCCTGGGTCCTGACTCTGTGAGGAGTCTGCTGCAGCAAGTGGTACCACAACCTGTAGCTGATGTGTTTTGTCCTTTTTTTTTTTTTTCCAGTAAACATTTATGTTATTGCTGTCTGTTAAGCAAGGAAGTGATTTTCTTTTCTAAAACAGGCGATACTTACTGTTTTCTTCCCCAGTTGCCCTCCCACAGCATTATGGTGTGCTCTGTTTCAGGGTGCTGCTGTTATCAGCTGCTTCTCTGGCTCTGAAAACACCATCCCTTCATCTGGAAAAGATGAATTACCCAAATTCATGGCCAATGCTACATCCAAGCAAGGGTTTGCTATCTATGTGGATGAACCAGAAGGGAAAGAAAACTGCAGCTGGCAAGTGGCTGAAGAGCTGGAATCAAGCCTGTGTGAACTAGATAGTAGTGCAATGACCTCCATTACTCACCTACTGGAAGAGAAAGAAAACTGCAGCTGCCAAGTGTCTGAACAGCTGGAATCAAGCTTGTGTGACCTGGATACTAGTGCAATGACATCCAATATTCACCTGCTGCTGGATCTGAGTACAGGTAACTCCTGTTACTACTCAGATGCTACCTATAGCAAAAGTACACGTAGCGTGGTTATGAATTGCAAAGCTGGCAAGCTAGTGAAGAGCTGGTGTTGCAGTAAATAACACATGGATATAAGATAACATGCACTGTGCTTACATAGGGCATAACATGTCTGTGCTAGAAATAGCAGGAGATGGTAAAGAGGTTAATGACAAAAATGTCTTCCTGCTTCCTCTTACCTGTTAGGTTCTCCTATGGTAGTGGACACATCCTTCCAGTCCCAGCCTGAGGATCACATGGAAGATGCCATAACTCTGACCGTGGATGAGTATGTAGAAGACATTCATCAGTACCTCAGAGAGGCTGAAGTGAGTGGCTTGTAACAAGCTTGTAGATACTTGCAGGCCATCACAGCAACAACAATGCATGGCTGCCCAAGGATAATGTGATGCTGCCACTGAACTGTGAAGGAGAGAAAACAAGCAGTAAAAGCCATCTCTAAAGGCAGCATCTACACAGTGATGAGAGAGTGGTGAGGCACTGAAACAGGCTGCCCAGAGAAGCTGTGGATGCCCCATCCCTGTCCATCGTCAAGGCCAGGCTGGATGAGGCTTTGAGCAACCTGGTCTAGTGGAAGGTGTCCCTGCCCATGGCAGGGGGGTTGGAACTAGATGGTCTTTAAGGTTCCTTCCAACACTAACCATTCTATGATCTTTCAGGATTACTTTATGTCCCTGGAATTCCCTACCATTGGAGCATCTTTTGACTCTTTGGGATGAAGAATTCTTGCTGATTGGAGTTGGATGGTGTAAAAATACTAAAGCAGTTGCATGTGATCTCACTGACAGTTCTCTTGCTATAACAGTATTTTTTCCAAGCAGTGAAGTGCAGTCCCCTGGTAGGAAGAGGGGTAAAATGTGACCTGTTTGTTTTCAGGTCCCTCTGAATGGCTCACGTGCTTGATGGTAAAGGCTATTCTGTTACTAGCTTAGTAGCTCCTCTCTTCGGTGTGGAAATGCTGCTTTCTAGAGATGCTACTAACTGTTAATTAATACTACTAGCATTATAATTACTGTTAGTAGCATGAGTTGTTCCACTATTAATAACTCGTTGATCCTTTCGGTATAAGTATAAAAATGTTGATCAGCTCAGCCACCAATGGTATTCTTCAACTCTCTCTCTCTGAACAGGTAAGATTCAGGCCCAAGCCCTCCTACATGAAGAAACAACCAGATATCACCACAGGAATGCGTGCCATCTTGGTAGACTGGCTGGTGGAAGTGGGGGAAGAATATAAACTACGAACAGAGACTTTGTACTTGGCAGTGAACTTCCTGGACAGGTTTCTTTCCTGCATGTCTGTTCTCAGAGGGAAGCTGCAGCTTGTAGGAACAGCAGCACTTCTTCTGGCTTCGTAAGTGTTTATCTCCTGAAATCTTAGTGAGCTGAAACTTTTATTTTTGGACTGAACAGCTTCATTTAATTTGAAAAGCTACCTACAACTGCAAGCATCAATCCTTCATAATATCTTAAAGTTAGCAACTTCACCTACTTCGGCATGAGCAAAATTAAACATTTAATAATTGATGTGAGGAATTGTGGTGGAAAAACCTTGTAAGGATAAGAGCAGGACCAAAACCACTTCTGTGTTAGGCTGCTAACCTATAAGGCTGTAGTAGACTCACAGTTGCAATCTGCAATTGACCTTGGACTGCTTAAAGTAGACAGGGTACCCAACATAACGTAGGAGTGCATGGTTTTGTCTGGAGTACACTGTGTCACTCTCTGAGAGCTTGCTGTTAGCCAAGAGCTAACAATGTGAATGGGTTTTTATCTGGACTGGTGACATGGAGATCCTCTAAGCATGTTTGCTGAAACTGGAGACTAAACTGTTACTTAGCCTGGTAGATGGACTAAAATAACAGTTCTACACAAGTCTTACTAATGTCATGTCCTCATATAGGTCCAGCAGTAAGAATTCTTCTACTTAACTTTAGCTTCTGTGTTTCTTTTTCAGTAAATATGAAGAGATCTACCCACCAGAAGTGGATGAATTTGTGTATATAACTGATGATACCTACACAAAGAGGCAGCTGCTGAGAATGGAACACCTGCTTCTCAAAGTGTTGGCTTTTGACCTAATGGTTCCAACCACCAACCAGTTCCTCCTTCAGTATGTTCAGAGGCATGGAGTCTGCATGAGGACAGAAAACTTTGCAAGGGTATGAATTATCCTCCTTTTAGGATTGAGAAAGGGGGAGAAGTGATCCTGAAAGCAGAACCATTTGTATTTCACTAAGTTATCTGAGCAGAGAGGTTCTGTTACTATACTATGCTCTATCAGAAGATAATTTTTTCTTCATGCCAAGTCTAATCTGGGACTGCAACATGCCTAAAGCTGGATGTTTTGTAGCCTACTATCTTCAGTAGGTGGCTTGGGTGCTGAAACTTAAGGATAAACGCCTTGTGTAAATCCTAAGTTTAGTCTATCTGTCTGGTCAAGCATAATGCACTGACTAGGTGGGTAGGTGGTCGGAATCTGGTTGTTTGGTCAACAGTGCTTGCATAGCAAGTAAGCCCTGGAAGTGGTGATACTGTAGATTGCTATACAATGATCCAGCATATCCTTGAATTCTACTTTCTAGAGCTGTCCATTTATCCCTGATCTCCAAGTGAGGTCTACCTATGTGAACATTGGAGGATGGGACAAGTGTGTCTCCATTATTTTTTTTTTTTTTTAAATATGAAGTTCCTAAGTATGTAGCTTTAAAATTACATCAGAGCTGATGATAGGAACAGAACTTCAGACTGCAGTGTAGATGTTTAGGCTTTCACAAAGTGTGGTCTTTCTGTCCGCACTGAAACCTGCTAAAGGTTCTTCTGTAAGATCATAGAACCATAGAACAGATTGAGTTGGAAGGGACCTTAAAGACCACCTAGTTCCAACCCCCCTGCCATGGGCAGGGACACCTTCTGCTAGACCAGGTTGCTCAAAGCCTCATCCAGCCTGGCCTTGAACACTTCCAGGGATGGGGCATCCACCACTGCTCTGGGCAACCTGTTACAGTGCCTCACCACTCTCTCCTTGAAAAATTTCTTCCTGATGTCCAATCTAAGTATCTTCTCTTTCAATTTAAACCCGTTACCCCTTGTCCTGTCACTACAGGCCCTTGTAAAAAGTCCCCCCCAGCTTCCTTGTAGGCCCCTTCAGGTACTGGAAGGTGCTATAAGTTCTCCCTG